CGTAGCCAGGAATAGCGGGGCCGCCGGGGACTGGGGGCCGTTTTTTTGTTACTGTCATTCATAGGGGGGTATTTGCCATAGTTGCCACGCTTGGCGAGCGGGTTGGCAACCGCAGTTTTTTTATTGTAATTTGGCTATTATCAGGAAGATGCTACTGCCCATCTCCTGCCTGTTTCCCTTTGTCGCCTTTTACGACACCCACGGGAGGATATGGGGTAGTGGATATTCTTGACCGCCACTACACGGCTAAAAGAATTGGATATGTAACATTATTTAATTATTGACATAAGAATAATAATTAATATATGACATTGACCTATAATAATAATCTTACTTGACATAATAATACTTACTTATCTCGTATATTTGATGGCATTTTCTGACACTGTAGCATAATAAACTAATTATCAAATCAACTAAATAATATTAAATAATTTTATATTTTGTTAAATTAATATATGTTGTTAAATTCGATTAGTGTTGTTGTTTAGGTTACTTGACCATTAATATTTGCACACCACTAAGGTAGAATATGTAGAACGAATTATACTCAAACACCATTGTACAACCATATTCTTGCAAATAAAGATTATTATTATTATTATTATTATTTGGGGCATCTATATAGTTTACTCATCTGGTTGGGCTGTATAAATATATAATTGTAAATGAAAATGATAAACATACATAAATATCAACAAAATAAAATAAATGCATAAAAAATACATAAATAAATAAAAACCCAACCAGATGGAAGCCCTCAGCAGGGGAGACCAAACGGCCGAGGGTTAGGGGAAAGGGAAAGAAACCGGCGGACGATGCGGGCGATATCGAGAAGCACCGCCTTCTGCATTTGAGCTTGGAGCGGTCCGTCACGGAGTCCCAGTCCCTCAGATGACCCGAGAGGCTGACTGGGATTAACCCGTTCGCAGAAACGACCACAGGAATAATTTCGGCCGGCAGTCCACCCCACATGTCGGTCACCTCGTGAGCCAGGTCCAGATATTTTGTTCGCTTATCTGTTTCGGCTTTCACGAGGTTCTCGTCATACGGAATGGTAATGTCGACCAAAAATATCCTTGACTGTGCCCGGTCCATCAGCACAATATCAGGCTTATTCGCAAGAATGGTCCTGTCTGTGATGATGGACCGGTCCCAGTAGAGCCTGGCGCGGTCATTTTCGAGCACGGCTTCCGGCATGTACTTATAATAAGGCAGTTTCTATTCCACGAGACCGTATTTCAGAGCGAGTTCCTGGTGTAGAATCCTGGCTACTAGGTTGTGCCTATGCAAGTACTCAGAGTTAGAAAGCGCCGAACAACCGGAGATGACATGCCTAAGTGATTCACCGGGATGGCGACAAGCTCGACAAATGTCGACTCGAATGTCGATTATTATTATTATTATTATCTATCTATCTAAGTAACAGAATTTTCAACTTGTAGACGGCCGTTGGACTTGGAAATTTGCACTTGTATCAACGAAATAATTTAATAGCTTTATCCAAGTATCGTGATCTAGATCATCGAGATTAAATAAAATATTTTTTTCTTAAGTATGTTTCTGTAGTTTTTTTTTAACTATAACTTAATTTACAAGTATTTTTTATTGGAAGTTTGGAAGTCAGTTTTTTCTTTATCCACTGGTTCGAAATATCCTCTGTCCTGAAAAGAACCAGCAAAAAAACTCAGCAGGACTTTTTTCTCAAACTAAATTGTACAATAAAGTTGAACAAACTACTTACAATACTAAATAATTTGGAAGCGACCACCTCAACCTCCCGTTGTGAGGGATGCCCGCGCCCAGCTGTGGGGCGTGGGTACTGTTCGGTGTGAGTTCATAGAAATAAAACAACGCATTCTAAGTAGCATTTATTGATGAACTTTACACAAACAATGCTCGGAATGAATAATTTATTTAATTTAAACAACTTAATTTTATTAAATTCGAAAATGTACACACAGACAGACTATAAAATTTACATTTATATTTAGATTAATTACAATACAAATAGAATTAATATTGCACATGGTCAAGTGGAACTGTTGCTTAAATATTATAATATAAAATTTTAACAGATTATATTTTTAAGATATTTTCTTGTATATTCAAACAAGCTGACTCTCCCACTATTGACTGTAGGATTTACCATTCTTGTCACAATTTATTTGATATGATGGCTTAGTATAATATGGTATTGACCGCTACCTATAGTATTTACATTTATATTTTATAACTACAGAACTATATCATATTTTCTACTCATTTATGATTACTATTCTGTCTCAATATGGAAAAATGGAGGTCAGTGATGCCAACATTTTAATCATGTCAATTTTGACACGTCGCCATTTTGAAATTATTATTTTATTTAAAAATACAATCATAGGACAACAAAATACAGTCACAACCTAAAATTAATCTCAACATAAATTACAAAAAAAAAAAAACATTAAATATATTTTTTGTTTTAATTTTTGCACACATACAAAACGCATTTTAAGGTAAGTAGGAAGTTTGGCATATTGACAATCTCATGTTCGTCTCGGATGTCGGTCTGCTGAAATGTTTATATGGGACATAAATCAGAAAATTTTCCCACATGTTAATGGCTAAAGTATTGATAAAGTTTGCTTTAAACTGACGTTTTATTTTACATTTTTTATACTAGCCATATTTCCTCCGTTTAAAATATTTCAAAAACACGTAGGTAATTGAAAAAAGTATTGTTAGTATATAATATATACAAGATATCTATAATTTGTATTCTCGAAGTGAAAAAAGAGAAAAATACATGTATTTTTATTCACACATATTTACATTTATCTAATAATATATTAAAACATACGTACATAGTACTAATCTTGGGATGATTCTGAAGTAGACATCATCACTCTTACAGCCCATCACAAGTCCACTGATGAACACAGGCCGCCCAAAAAATACCACAAAGCACAGTCCTGGGCCACCCGCATCCATCTCTTACCTTAACTCACCTCTTTTTCAGCATATCTCACCAGCAGGTTTATTCGCTTTGATGACATCAAAATTATTATAGTCACTTTTTATTGCGTCCTGTGTCTTAATATTATGAGCCGTAAATTTAGCAAACGACGCAATGTAGGTACTACAAAGCGACTATTATTTTGGTAATTTTGATGACAACGAAGTTATTATTGAAAAGGTTTAGAATAGTTCATCACTCCATCTAGCACGGAGTATAAGATTCAGTAGCATACGCTTTTTAAAAATCCGTTGCGGAATTTTACTTGTAGGTACCGCTGTTTTGCAAAACCGCTCACTTTTTATTTTAATAACGTAATAGTTCTTGTACTATTATTTATTCTGTGGTAATAGTAACTATAAACTGTATATCTATGTTATTTGACCAAGTAATTAATCAGGGCACTATTATATTGCCCGAGCAATATGTATATAACAAGTCATAACCTAACTTTTTTTATTTTTTACATGGGGAAATTTTCTTCACTCGTGTGGTGGGGGCAAGAACGGGTTATATCGGACTCGCACCGAATAAAACCCCATGGTGTTACACTATCGCCGCATATCGACAGTACCTAACCTATCTTTTTATTACTCTGCTCACTAAGTGATAGGCTATATTCATAAAGTTAGTTACAGCCTATATACGTCCCACTGCTGGGTATAGGCCTCCCCTCATTTCTGAGAGGGTTTTGGGGTAAGGAAATGTCCGCCACGCTGCCCCAATGCGTGTTGGCGAACTTCACATGTCTTCGAATTTTTTTTTCTTATTTCTCAGACATGCAGGTTTCCTCACGATGTTTTCCTTCACCGCCGAGCATGTGGTAAATCAGCACTAAAAATTACAATTAGATAACAATTTCATTGGTGCCGGCGGAGGTCGAACCCGGGTATTGCTCGCGTACTGTGAAATTTACAGCGAGCGCTAACCATCTGAACTACCACGACTCTTCATAAATTCATAAAGCCCGCTCAATTTATTTATTTGAATAGTTTTTATCATTTTGTCTACTCATATTGAGCATTATTCAAACTGTCTGGACGTTATGAATAATGCCCTATAAATAACTTGGTCCGTAACATCTACATAATAAACCTAACTCATTATTAGTCGAACGCTAAATAATAGTGAACAGTAAATTATAATTATGAATTGCAAATTTTCCATAATCGATACAACTTAACCGACCTTAACCTTCGCTCGAGAAATAAACAATAGGTACACAACAAATATTATTTATAAAGAACAAAAGAACGATGGCTCAGATAATATTTACACGAAGTTTTATTTACATTTTTATTGATTTCTATATTTTCTGGATAAGATTATTTAAATTGATAATTATTAGCTTCTTACGGAATTCCTCAACATAACATTGTTCTTATTAAAGATGATAAAAACTAATTTTCTAAGATCCGTGATATAACAAAAAAATGATGTGTCTTACCTAGTTTGAAGAGAACCCCCGCTTTCCCAACAAAGAGGACTAATAATTTTCAGATCACCAGATGTCGCTAGTTGGAACTAAGGTGAACTTATTTGTTACGCAACTGGTCATACACACACCGCAGATTCTATTTCACCCTTGTATAATATAAATAAGTAAGGTAAGCTTATGTATACGAAACACGTGTCATTTTTTTAGACGGTGATCTTAGCTTTTGTGTTATAAGTAGTGGCGTTGGGATTAGGGATTAGTGGCGACGGGGGTAGTGCACACAATTTAGGGAGGGCGGGAGGTGTTCTTCATACTAGGTAAGATACATCGTTTCATCAGTCATCACAGAGTCTATTTCTCCTGATGATGCTACGCCCATCTTCTGCTTCATTTTTCTGTCTTTCGACACCCACAAGATGATATGGGGTAATGGATATTCTTATAGAAACATTAAAACTAAATGTTATTTAGTTTCCAATACTATTCCCAATTATCAAATTATCTTCTAATCTTCCTGGGGAATCTCACAGCGTTCCCTAGCACTTCCTTGTTAATGCGTCATTTCTTCCCTCCTATTCCCCCTATGAGTCCCTGAGCTGTGGAGAGGCTTGCCAAGGTCATTCTGTCGGAGTTCACCGGGAGAGTTCTGTCCTGGGTGCTGAGCAACCTCTCCGCCGAGTTCAGGCTGGTGAGGGAGAGTCTGCTCTGGTCCGATCCGGTCGTGACCGGGTTGCTCTGCCCGGTTGCAGTTGCAGTGATGGGGGTGGTAGCGCGGGGTAGGGTTTTCGTGAGGGTTGTCGTCTGCGTTGTTGGTGGGGAAGTGCGGAGTAGAGCAGTTGGTTTCAGCTCCCTACCGCTGCAGACCTGGAATAAAAGTATTGATTAGTTTTTTTTTCTTTTTGAAAACGTTACCTCCCCAATAGGATTTTCGCCTGTATCGTGGAATCAGTTTACATACATAAGGACAAACATCCAGACCCGGAACAATTATTTATAGACCATACAAATAATTGCTCAGTGCGGGATTCGAAACCGCAACTCACAGCGGCTCAGCGCTGCAACACGGAAGCGCCGGTGGAGAAGAAAGCGCTTCTTCTTTATGTAAGAATTCCTTATTTCATAAAACATCTTCGTTTATACTTCTTCTAAATTCAAATTCAAGTCTTTTTCAAACCTTTTCATTTTATTAAAAATTTTACCTATTAAAAAATGAAAAATCGTTTGACCCATTACCTGACAATAATCGTGAGGTACGTGACAGAGCCATCTATGCAAACACGGCTGTAGTTTTTGAGTTATAAGAAAGTGACCATATTAACCGGATGAACATATTATTACCCTCACGTACTATAATACATCTCCTTTCATACTTCTTTAAAATTTAAATTCAGTGTCTTCACAAGCTCTTTAATATTATCAAAAACACTCTGACCAATTGAAAAAATTAAAAACCTTTTGAATCATCACCTGATAATAAACATAGTCTTCAGAGGTGATAGCTTCCAGGCATTCAATGAATTAAAAAATTAATAAAGTAGGTACATACAGTCCACCTGATGTTAGGTGGTTAGTGAAGTCCAAATACTCCTGCAGCTAACTACAAATAAAGAAGGCTTCAGGTGTGTTGTCACCTCTGAGGACTACGATGGAATACCTCGCAGCCTGTTGTTATACTAACTCTCTATACTCATCAGATCGGAACACAGCTGCAAGCCCTGCTACTCGACGGCAGAAGTAGGTAAGGACCTGGCACATATCTAGACGGATTCCTAGGTAAATGGAGTCCTACCACCTAAAAGGTTCATCTCGTTCTTATCCTACCGGAAGTCACGTGCCTGGTGGTGGTTCTCCCAGTCCTTGTGCTAACAGTGTCACGTAGCTGGTGGTAGTTCTTCCGGTCCTTGTGCTGGCAGTGTCACGTACCTGGTGGTAGTTCTTCCAGTCCGTGTTCTGGCAGGAGGGTCATGTACCTGGTTTTAGTTCTCCCAGTTTTTGTACTGGGAGGGTAACGTGTCTGGTGGTGGTTCTCCCGGTGCTTATGCTGGCAGGGTCACGTACCTGGTGGTGGTTCTCCCAATCCTTGTGCTGGCAAAAGGCGCCGCAGTAGCGGGCCGCGTTGCATCCCGAGCACGTCTCCTGAGCCTTGCGACCGCAATTCCAGCAACACTGGACAAGCGATTTACATGTACACGATTAATCATGCGATCCAAAAGGGGAAAAAGGACCGTTATGATATAGCCAGTAATGACTGGCAACACCGTATTGGTAAATATAGAGGAGTACAATGACTAGTGTTTTTTTTTATAGGATAAGGGTGACAAACGAGCACACAGTCCACCTGATGGTAAGTGGTTGCTGTGGCCCATAGACATCTACATCTAATCTTGATTACGAATCAAAATGCAGATGCGCGTCACCCATGAGGACTAAGATAGAATGCCTCGTTTCCATTAAAAAGGGTCTCCGGTTCTCTACACTCACCATACGAAACACAGCAGCGTTAAGCTGCTATTTTACGCTGATATTCTGTGAGAGCGTATTCCTTCCCCAGTCGAGCCGGCCTATTCGTGCTACAACTACGAGTATACCAGTAATATAGCATGGCTCTACCATGTACAAGATGATTGGCAGGAATTAAAATTAAGTTACCCTACATCGTTCCGTGAGTGTCTTAAGAGGCAACAGATGGAAATCAGGAGATGGGCCTGCCTAGCGTGGCAACTATGATATCTCTCTTCTGAAGTAATATTTAAGGCTTATGTTCAGCAGTGGACTTATATTAGTGATAGGTGTAACAGAAACAGAAACAGAAACTTTTTTATTCAATATAGATTATAAATAATACTTATTGAAAGTCACTCTTTTGTATGATTACCACTGGTTCGAAAAAAAACCTCTGTCCTGGGAAGAACCAGCAAGAAACCCAGCGGGACTTTTTTTTAAACAACACAATAAATTAGAAATAGCTTGGTAGCGATCACCTCATTTCCAGGGGTTATTATCATTTATAAATTTATTAATATTATAATAACCCTTTTTATACAAACTTAGTTTAATAAAGTTTTTGAACTTTGAGCAAGTCAAATTTTGTATATTTTCTGGAATTTTGTTGTAAAAGCGTATACATCGCCCCAAGAATGAATTACTGACTCGATGGAGTCGAGTAACTGGTACTACTAGCTTGTGTCTATTCCTAGTATTTACAGAATGAATATCACTTATTATTGTAAAACTACTTTTATTTTTGTGTACGTACATTACTTTTCATAAATGTATTGAGAGGCCAAAGTTAATATATTAATTTCCTTAAATTTTTGTCGCAGCGACTCTTTAGGCTTTAAATCACAAATTGCTCTTATGGCCCTCTTCTGTAAAACAAATATAATTTCAGTGTCAGCTGCGTGTCCCCATAGCAAAATACCATACGACATTATGCTATGGAAATAGCTAAAGTAAACTAGTCTAGCTGTTTCAACACTAGTTAGACTTCTAATCTTTTTTACGGCATATGCTGCAGAACTAAGTCTGCTTGCTAGTTTTGATATATGGGGGCTCCATTGAAGCTTCGCGTCTAGTGTGATTCCAAGAAAAATGGTGGTATCTACAAGACTCAGTTTCTCCCCATTTAAAATTACATTAGTATTTAATTGTTTGACATTTGGAGTCATAAATTTCATACATTTCATTTTAGTGCCATTTAAATGCAAATTATTAACATTGAACCAATTTACTAATTTAGATATAGCATTATTTACTTCGTCATATTTTAGCAATTGTCGACTTAATTTGAAAATTAAAGAAGTATGATCTGCAAATAATATTATATCATGGTTATCTCCTACTATGTAAGGTAAATCATTAATGTATACAAGAAACAGAAAGGGGCCGAAAATTGAGCCTTGAGGCACGCCCATTTGTACCATCGACCCGGAAGAACTCATACTGTTAATGACAACTTTTTGCGTTCTCTTACTTAAATATGAAATAATTAATTTAAGAGCATCACTTCTTACACCGTAGTGTTGAAGTTTCCTGATTAATGTTTCATGGTGAACACAATCGAAGGCTTTGGATCGGTCACAGAATATATACAAATTATTCTGTGATTTCTCCCATGCATTAAATATATATTTAATCAGCTCAACACCGGCATCAGTTGTCGAGCGACCCCTTGTGAAACCAAATTGATTTTTATGAAGTAAATTATTTATATTAAAGAAATTTAACATTTGATCAAGAATAATTTTTTCAAAAATCTTACTAAGTGTTGGTAGTACAGAAATAGGTCTAAAATTGGCGGGGTCTAATGTACTACCAGATTTAAATAAAGGTATTACTTTACTATACTTCATTAAATCAGGAAACACACCAGATTCGATACTAGTATTAAAAATAATAGCTAAATGAGGCGCGATTGTATCTATTATAGACGCAATAACTTGAACGGAAATCCCCCACAGATCCGCAGTTTTCTTAACATCAATAGTTTTAAAATATTTTACAATATCTTTTGATGATACTTTAAGAAATGCAAAATTCTTTGTACACGCATTTACATTTTGTTTAAGTAATGATTCGGCGACCGCAGGAGAAGAATTCAGTGACTTAGTGGTTAATATCGGAATATCAGTAAAATATTTCTCAAAAACCATTGCAACGTCCTGATCTGATTCGGTTAATTTGTTACTAACACTTAACTGGTAGTTTGAATTGCGAGAGTTGATCTTACCAGTTTCGCTATTAATTATACTCCATGTAATAAATAAATCAATGACTGGAAACGATGCAGTTAGTATAGTCTGTTAGCTAAGATAGTGTCGGTACACCCGGACGCGCACTTATTATTTTGTTTTTAATTTATTATTTTTTACTGTGTTTCTTAAATAAATGTTTTTCTCTTTGTAATATAATACAAAAATAAATAATAAACACAAGTTAGGTAGCAAAGAACCTTTCACTACGGCGCGGCGCTTCGTTTTAAAAGGACCTAACTTTCCTGCGGGTGTACGCCGCACTCGGCGACCTTTAATATCGCAGCGGCGTCTTTGACAAAAAGCGGCACCGTGCCAAACAAAGGCGACCGTATCTAAGCTAATATACTATACATGGTAGAGACATGCTGCAGCTATATGGTTGTAGCACGAATGGGTCGGCTCACCCGGGGCAGGATCACGCTCTTATAGAATACCAGCGTAAAGAAACCGCTTAATGTTTTTTTTTCTTTGGTAATGGACTCATATTGTTATACCTTTGCAATTTCAAGTATATTATGAAACTATCCTTTAAAATAATCTGTTCCAAAATTTCATTACAATATATAGAGGGGTCATATTTTAACGTTTTTGGGAGATTTAAAAGGCACTTTGAGTCAGTCTATGACTACAGTATAACTTAACTTGTTTCATCGTTTACAAAAATTGTGCATATGTGTTTTTTAGACATTTAATATAAAAAATTGCATCAATTTTACTTATCAAATCTATTTGTCAAACCATTACTTAAACAATAATACTGGAGCAGCAATCCGCCGCTGGTCAAGTTTCCACCAAAACATTAGCTTAATGTTGCTGTGTTTCTCCTTTTTACTGGGAACGATAGTCCTTGGCGGTTACAGCGCATCTACATTTGATTTTTAGTCGGGTATAGATGTATATAGGCCACAGCATCCACTTACCATCAGGATTTTGTGTTCGTTTGTCACCCTTACTGTATAAAATAAGGCATTGGGGTGTGCGTTGATAGTTCGTACGTACGTTCTGCGGCGCGGGGGGGCTGCGCGGCGGCGAGTGGCGGCGCTCGGCGCGCGGCGCCAGCTCCAGGCGGCCCTCCGCCGCGCCCAGCGCGCGCTGCAGCTCCGCCAGCGCCTGCCGCTTCACCTGCACCCACCAAAGTATTGCAATGGCTCCGAACTCCATATTTTGACATATCTCCAGGTTTCAAGGTCTTGATCTAGAACCAGATGCTAAAATTTTAGGAGAATGTCTGTGTGACGTTAATAACTTCTCAAGGAACAACCGATATTTAATCTGTGGTCAGTCCATCTTCATCTGAAGTAAACCAGATGGTTATACTACTATCTATAGTCATTGGCCATATTTGCCTATAGTCATTGGCCATATTTACCTATAGTCATTGGTCATTTTTACCTATAGTCATTGGTCATTTTTACCTATAGTCATTGGCCATATTTACCTACAGTCATTGTCCATATTTACCCATAGTCATTGGCCATAATTATGTGTAGACATTGGCCGTATTTACCTATAGTCATTGGCCATATTTACCCATAGTCATTGGCCATATTTAGCTATAGTCATTGGACATATTTACCTATAATCATTAGCCATATTTACCTACAGTCATTGTCCATATTTACCTATAATCATTGGCCATATTTACCTGTAGTCATTGGCCGTATTTACCTATAGTCATTGGCCATATTTACCTATAGTCATTGGCCATATTTACCTATAATCATTGGTCATATTTACCTATAGTCATTGGCCATATTTACCTACAGTCATTGTCCATATTTACCCATAGTCATTGGCCATATTTACTTGTAGTCATTGGCCGTATTTACCTATAGTCATTGGCCATATTTACCTACAGTCATTGTCCATATTTACCTATAACCATTGGCCATATTTATCTGTAGTCATTGGCCGTATTTACCTATAGTCATTGGCCATGTTTACCTACAGTCATTGACCGTATTTAGCTATAGTCATTGGCCATATTTACCTAAAGTCATTGGCCGTCTTTGCCTATAGTCATTGGCCATATTTACCTATAGTCATTGGTCATTTTTACCTATAGTCATTGGCCATATTTACCTACAGTCATTGTCCATATTTACCCATAGTCATTGGCCATAATTATGTGTAGACATTGGCCGTATTTACCTATAGTCATTGGCCATATTTACCTATAGCCATTGGCCATATTTAGCTATAGTCATTGGACATATTTACCTATAATCATTAGCCATATTTACCTACAGTCATTGTCCATATTTACCTATAATCATTGGCCATATTTACCTGTAGTCATTGGCCGTATTTACCTATAGTCATTGGCCATATTTACCTATAGTCATTGGCCATATTTACCTATAATCATTGGTCATATTTACCTATAGTCATTGGCCATATTTACCTACAGTCATTGTCCATATTTACCCATAGTCATTGGCCATATTTACTTGTAGTCATTGGCCGTATTTACCTATAGTCATTGACCATATTTACCTACAGTCATTGTCCATATTTACCTATAACCATTGGCCATATTTATCAGTAGTCATTGGCCGTATTTACCTATAGTCATTGGCCATGTTTACCTACAGTCATTGACCGTATTTAGCTATAGTCATTGGCCATATTTACCTAAAGTCATTGGCCGTCTTTGCCTATAGTCATTGGCCATATTTACCTATAGTCATTGGTCATTTTTACCTATAGTAATGGGCCATATTTGCCTATAGTCATTGGCCATATTTACCTATAGTCATTTGCCATATTTACCTATAGTCATTGGCCATGTTTACCTACAGTCATTGACCATATTTAGCTATAGTCATTGACCATAATTACCTATAGTCATTTGACATATTTGTCTATAGCCTTTGGCCATATTTGCCTATAGTCATTGGCCACATTTACCTATAGTCATTGGCCATATTTACCTATAGTCATTGTCCATATTTACCTATAGTCATTGGCCATTTTCGCATTTCCCATAGTACTCCCACAAGATGAAATGCAGTGATGGACTCTTACACCACAACCACATGGTTATCTGTTGCTTGTATAATAAAAGCGTATAGACCATTGCTTTCAGTATAATGGCTATAGATGAAGAACAACTCGGGAATCTATTTAACACGCTTTCTTACCTGGTTGACTGCATCCTCTGCCCGTCTCCTGACTTCAGCGACTCTCTCTTCCGTCTGTCTGACGGCCGATGCCATTATCTCATTTGCGGCTCTTTTGATCTCATTACTTTCTGTTGTTTCAACACCTAGAACAAATATCCTCCATTAAGTAATAAAAAGGCTGCAAAAGAGATTACAGCTTTCACTATCTGTTTTTTTTCTTCCATTTTTTGATACTTCTATGTAAAGGACGTGCTATTTATTACATGATATATTTATTATTTGAAACCTTAAACAAAACGTAAAACAAACACACTTGAAGCTACCAACCAGTAAGTCTGCAGCTTGTCTAATCTATGTAAGATTTATGAAGTGATGAGTTTCTATAGAGTACCTACAACTATACCCGATTATGAAACAAATGCAGAAGCATTGCCATCCCTAAAGAGTGGAGTGCTAACAGGTAAAAGATTCTCCGGTTCTCGACTATCACCAAACATAATTAAAAATTAAAAATTTTGTACAGCCGACTTCAATATAAGTTATTAAGAATAACTCAAAAACTATTGGTCTGACCTTGATTAAATTCATATGGGACCACACGAGAAGTATCAGCTTTCATATAAAAAAGAATTATCGAAATCGGTTCACCCAGTAAAGAGTTATGAGGTAACACACAAAAAAACATACAGTCGAATTGAGTACCGTCTCCTTTTTGAAGTCGGTAGAAAACAGCAATATGCAGGTCGTTTTGGAGCTGACTTAGTCGTGCTTTAGCCATAAAAATCTTTATTGATAGAATAAGGATGACAAATGAGCGCACAGTCTACCTTATGAGAAGTGGATGCTGTGGCCCTTATACACCCACATTTACCTCTGAGGACTAACTTATTTTTTAAGAATAAGGATGTCAGACAAACACACAGTTCATCTAATTGTAAGTGGATACTGTACCCCATAGATGTAGACTTTTATCCTCGATTAAGAATCAAAATGCATATGCGTTATCACCCTCGAGGACTAAGATGGAATACCTCATTACCAGTAAAAAGGGTCTCCGGTTCTCTACATTCATCATACGAAACACAGCTGCATTGAGCTGCTGTTTTACGCCGGTATTCTATGAGCGTGGTCCTTCTTCAGTCTTCTTGTTCACCCATTAGTGTGGAAACTATGATATAACTGCAGCGAGAATCTACCACATATCTTAATACAAAAATCCCGTGTCACGATGCTCGTTCACGGTAACTCAGAAACCGCCCAGCCGATTTTAATGAAATTTTGTATGGAGCAAGCACTAACTTGAGAGATATAGTTTTCTACCGACTTCAAAAAGGAGACGGTAGGTACTCAATACGACTGTATGTTTTTTTTAATGTATTACCTCGTAACTTTTTACTGGGTGAACCGATTTGGACGATTATTTTTTTATTTGCAAGCTGGTGCTCCCATATAAATTTGATCCAGGTCTGACCAATAGTTTTTGAGTTATTCTTAATAGTTTATATTGAAGTCGGTTGAACAAAATTTTTAAATTTAAATTGTTAGCCCGATAAATGACCTTAAATATTTATTATTGTGTATTTAAAGATTTTTTATAGAGCAAAGGGTCGCCATAAATGGCAGAATATCTGTTTGACCAGCTAGTGCAAGATATAATAAAGAAGGAGAACTCACCCCTCTGCTGCAATATGGCGAGTGCCCGCTTCGTCTTCTCCACCATGCTAAGGATACAGTTAAGCATTGTGTTGATGTTGCGCCACTCATCGTCACTCTTCAGGGGTCCAACTCCTCGCGGCTCTGAGAGCGACGCGTTCATTGATGACACGTCACGAATCGAAATCCCACCTGATGATGATAATCTATATGTATATATATATATATCTTCTGCCGTGTAGGTGAAAAGTTCACAACTCTATCTCACTTTTATAATATTAGAGTAACAAACGAGTTGCAGCTGCAGTCTATGGACACCTGCAACTAGCCTTAAACAAGAAAGTCACAGGTCATTTCGCTGGAACATCATCTATTTTACTGGAAACGAGGCATTCTATTTTATATATAGAATTAGGGTGATGTGGTTGCTGTGACCCATAGACATCTACATTATCCTCAATAAAGAATCAAAATTCAGATGCGTTGTCACCCGCGAGGACTAAGATGGAATGCCTCGTTTCCAGTAAAAAGGGTCTCCGGGTCTCTACACTCACCATACGGAACACAGCTGCGTTAAGTTGCTATTTTACGCTGGTATTCTGTGAGAGCGTGGTCCTTCCCCGGTCGAGCCGACCCATTCGTGCTACAACTATACCAGTAATATAGCTGCAGCATGGCTCTACCTCGTATAAAATTTTCTATTCCATCTTAGTCCTCACGGGTGACAATCTGACAATGCATCTGCATTTTGATTCGTAATCGAACTTTGATGTAGATGTCTATGGGTCACAGCAACCACTTACCATCAGGTGGACTGTGTGCTCGTTTGTCAACCTTATCCTATAAAAAAAGGTCTTTATCACCACTAAAGACTAAGATACGAATGCCATTCTCATTACAGCCCATGAAAAGTCCCCTGCTGATTATAAGCCTCCCCCTATAGATTACCTCATAGGAGAAATACTTGCCATAGCTGCCACGCTTAGTAAGCGGGTTTTCTGGCAGTCGCAGCTTTTTATTTTTATTCAGCTGTTATCAAGAAGATGCTGCTGCCATTTCCTGGTTCAGTTTCCTTCTGTCGTCTCATGTCAAAATCAGTTATAAGGTTTTATACGTGGTAGAGCCATGCTGCAGCTATATTAGTAGTATAGTTGTAGCACAAATGGGTCGGCTCGACCAGGGAAAGACCACGCTCTCACAGAATACCAGCGTAAAATGGCAGCTTGATACTGTTGTGTTTCGTATGGTGAGTGTAGAGAACCGGAGACCCTTTTTACTGGAAACGAGGCATTCCATCTTAGTCCTCACGGGTGACGACGCATCTGCATTTTGATTCTTTATTGAGGATAAATGTAGATGTCTATGGGTCACAGCAACCACTTACCATCAGGTGGACTGTGTGCTCGTTTGTCACTCTATCCTATAAAAAAAAAGAAAAAGGTTTTTCTCGCAACAAATTCTCAGTGATACCTTAAAGTCGGGAAGTTGGTGGTGTTTCACCCTCGTGCCTCGAAAAGCACTCTCTCCGGTTGCGTCGGATTATCGTCCCATCGGACTATGAGAGTGAGGGAATAGAGAGTGAACCGGTGCTTGCGCACTGTAACCCCATACCTAATCTCTTCTGAGGCCGACTGCCGTGACCGAAAATGTTCTGAAGGACATTATTATATTTTCCCTTACCATCTCTCCTTTCGAGTCCAGGCTCGCCTTGTCCACTGTGATAGGCTGGGTATGGATGCCCGTAATCGAAGAGACTCGCGTTACTGGGCAGCGGGCAGAGGAATGGGGAGGGGTTGAGGAGTAAACTTGATGGCGTTCGTTTCGCTTGTGGGGGGCAGTCTTCGTGAGAGCCGTTGGATTGTGATGCATCGTAGAACCTGGAATAGACAAATTGCATCAGAACGCACGTTTATTTATGTGATAGATAAAATGGCGGCCATACCATGGTTCCACCACTGGCACAGATATTTGCTATCTTTTAAGAGTTCTCTAGTATTAAATAGGTTTCTTTGTTTAAGGTTTGAGTTTTTTTGTTTGAGTTCCAATACTATTCTGAAGGTCATTAGTGATAAGCCAGACTGTCTAGTCATGAGGCACCGGGTATACACACATACGTGTATAACTGGTGTCACGAACTGGCTCGGAAAATATTTAAATTTAATGTCATAGTGTAGTTATTTTTATTCTGTTTTACTAACATAATTTGTAAGTTCACATTTTGTACTAAACCTCTTATGGACCAAATGTCTGAAATAAATATATTTAATTTAATTTAATTTATTCATTTATTTATAGATAAAACAATGGATTTTTTTGTGAGAATAGTGTAATCAAACATTTTTCGATGCAGATGAGTTGTCCCCCTTAAGGACTAGGGTGGACAGCCCTGTCACCAGTAAAAAGGGTCTCTGGTTCTCTACACTCTTCATACAAAACACAACAACATTATTCCGCTGTTTCACGCTGACGTTCAGCAGAAACTTGTCTTTTTTTTCATTTATCTTGGCAACCAATAGATATATATTTGTAATATCTAGTTTACACTTAATATAAGACAAAAATACCGAATAGTGCCAATAACTCTACATTATCAAACCATATTATTTACATTGTTGTCTCTTGTCATCATATAATATTATATAACAACAATTTTACTGCAAAATCTGTTTTCATATTTGTCAAAATTATTTAAAAATTCTGTTTTAAATTATTTAAAAAATTGTGATGTGCTCCTCGCCAAACTTTTTTTTTATAGGATCGGGTGACAAACGAGCACACAGTCCACCTGATGGTAAGTGGTTACTGTGACCCATAGACATCTACATCTATCCTCAATAAAGACTCAAGATGCAGACGCGTTGTCACCCGTGAGGACTAAGATGGAATGCCTCTTTGCCAGTAAAAACGGTCTCCGGTTCTCTACACTCACCATACGAAACACAGCAGCGTTAAGCTGCTATTTTACGCTGGTTTTCTGTGAGAGCGTGGTCCTTCCCCGTTCGAGCTGACCCATTCGTGCTACAACCATAATATAGCTGCAGCATGGCTCTACCATGTAGAAGCAACTAGATAAAGAAACTAAGATAAAGTGTCTTTGTCGCTGATAGAAGCAATTAGCTGTGTAACTACGAAATATAATATGAAACCACAGGTGAGAACCGTTGTGGAAGGCAACCTAGAAGAAATAGGACGTATACAGACTATTAGAAAATTCTATCAAAACAGATAAATACCGAAATACCGCTAACACAAATAACTTGATAAATGCTGTTTGATGAAATGAAAATAGTGCTCGACGATGAAGGAAAACATCGTGAGGAAATCTGCATGTTTGAGAAAAAAGAAAAAAATTCTAAAGATGTCAATTATTTAAGTTATTTTTTCGTATTTTGAAAAATAAACCATTTTTTTTTAAATATTACGTTTTTGCCTTAAGTGAACGGCATTCCCTCTACTTCAATAAGTAAACACAATCCGCCATTAATTAGCTGAGTACAAAAATGAGTTATGTTTTGAGTCACACCAAACAAAACAAAGCGGTACAACCCATCCGAGTTCGAATCCTTTGTAAAAGCACTTTAAAGTTATAGAAAACTTCTCAGTGAAAGACTTGGAATTTATTGAATCTTTATTATTGTAAACGACACAACAATAGGATCGAAAGACAAAGCAGAACTTAGTGTAAAATGTTTAGGGAATAAATATCTGTGGTCTAAGTTTAAATCTCCAGCGAGTACGTATAAAATTGATGTTACCTAAATTTCGTTTTTTTTTTGTTTTATATTGATGCGGATGTACCGCTTCTTAATTGTTAGCGGGCAAGCAGAAGTAGACTAATGCGTGCATATTTTTGCCCCTTGAGTTTGTATATATCTTTGTTTAAAATATGTGTATCGAATAAATAGTTCATTCCTTCTTTCTTTCAAACGAAAACTTGTTCAGTAATAATATTGACCAAGTAATTCAGTTCATGTGTTACGAGTAATAAAAATTATGTCCCGTGGAATAAAGATCGGTGAGCGTGTGTAAGTGCACGGATATTTTATTTTATAAGTTGGTAACATTTTTGTATGTGGTAGAGCCATGCTGCAGCTATATTAGAAGTATAGTTGTAGCACGAATGGGTCGGCTCGGCTGGGGAAGAACCACGCTCTCACAGAATACCAGCGTAAAATAGCAGCTTAACACTGCTGTGTTTCGTATGGTGAGTGTAGAGGACCGGAGACCCTTATTACTGGAAAAGAGGCATTCCATCTTAGTCCTCACGGGTGACAACGCATCTGCAGTTTGATTCTTTATTGAGGGTAGATGTAGTTGTCTATGTGTCACAGCAACTACTTACCATCAGGTGGTCTGTGTGCTCGCTTATAACCCTATCCTATAAAAAAAATATTCCTCTAAAATCACCTATAATCATAATCAATATCTTTTGCTTAGACCGTCTGAGTAGATAGCACCCTCTTTCCTATATCTGCCGCCCAGGAGCACTGCGTGCACCGTGTTCCGATCTGAAGGTTATTGAGATTCATTATAACTACAGGCTGTGCGGTATTCCTTCTTGGTCCTCTGAGGTTACAACACAATTGTAAACTGTCTTTTTTGAAGTTGATTGCAAGTGTCCATGGGCTGCAGCATTCACTTACCACCAGGTAAACTGTGAGTTCGTTTGTTGCTTTAATTTTATTTAAAAAAAAAACTTCAAATTTAAACCTCAACTATATACGATAATAAAATTCGGATGAAATAATTATAATAATAATGTCCCCCAGACCGAATTTCGGTCACGGCGGCCTGCCTGAACGGAGACTAGCCATCGGCGCAGGACAGGATTATAGTGACCAAGTGTATGTGCAAGCACAAGTGCACTATCTATTCCCTCTCATAATCCGATGGGACGGTAAACCGTCACGACCGTAGAGAGATCAGGTGCAGGACCAACGGCATTATGTGCTTTCCGAGGCACGGGAGTGAGACTCCGCGAACTTCCTGACTCCGGACAGCTACTGAGAATTTTTCGACAGAAAGACTAAATAAGTGATTTTTCGACCCGATCCGGGATTCGAACCGGGGATCTCATGATCAGCAGTCGCGTTTATAACCAATAAGCCATAACAAGGCAGTCGTCGTAAAATAATATTGTTATAATAAAAGAAATACCTAAAAGAATTTTGACGTTTTCTTTTAAATTAAATAAATGAATTTGCAGTGTTAATAATAATAAAAAAACTTTGATAGATGAACTAAACCTTCACTTTTCTGCCGACTTCAAAAAGAAGACGGTACTGAATTCGACTGTATGTTTTTTTTTGTCTCATAACTTTACTGGGTGAACCTACTTCGATCATTCTTTTTTATTTGAAAGATGGTACTTCGCATATGGTTCCATATGAATTTAATCAAGGTCAGACCAATAGCTTTTGAGTTATTCTTAATAATTTATATTGAAGTCGGCTGTACAAAATTCTTAATTTTAAATTATACATGGAAGGCGACAACATATTACAAAATATAATCTTATATTATTTATTGAACTGAAGCATCATTGTAAAAATTTTATGTAAAATTGCTGTGAAAGAATAAAGGCCTTTCTTAAGTTTCGCTTATGACTTGCACCACAGCAAAATGGAGTGCCGCCAATCGGCACGCATTGTTTAGTTCGGGAGCGCTGCGTTTGAATTGTGATAGTAATCTATGGCCAACGGCAAATGGCTTTTGGATTCCGTTCAATTCATTATGAATTTTAGCCTCGCAAACTACCAGCTATTAACACATGCAGTTTTCATATTGTGTACTTAACAACGTACCGAATATAAAGTATAATAATTTATAATATTATGTACAACAGCTTTACTAATTTGGTACCTATATAAAATTTTCCTTATTTGTAAGTATTGTATTGCTACAAAGTCCATTAATAAAAGATATGAAAGAGTATATAAACAACTTTTTATAAGCTGTAAGATATTACGATAGATTAAGGTCATTAATGGTAATATGTTACAATACAAACGCCTGAATATTAATTAGGGGCAATCATTAAACTTCCTAAATTATTGCTAACACAAAATGACTTAATAATAAATTACTATTTAATTAGATTAGAACAACCTATGAGGAGTAAAATAAAATAAAGGTAAAGTTATTAAGTTTCAGTTGCTTGCAAATTACACACACAAACATATATATATATATATATATATATATATATATATAATTATACGTAATAGGCTATCAAAATTCCACTGCTGACAATAGGCCTCCTCCATTTGACTCGTTGGGGGAATATTTGTCATTGTTTTTTTTTTGTTATTTTAGGTTGCTTTTTGGTAATTTTACACTCAGTCTCCTGTATCATTAACGTTACGTTGTAACGATATAAAGCATAGTTGAGCCTCCAACACTTTGTGGCGCTTGCGAAATAATTTACTTACTTTAATACTTGCAAATTAATTCACATATATAAAAAAAAATATTCTCATCTTTTGTAGTTTCATAAGAACGCAAACAAGCGTTTGGCAAAATTACGACACAGTAGCGTTCCCGTGTTCTAATAATTTTGCGGGAGCATAACTCCACGCACATGGAGCCAACGAGTGCGCGGTCCGGTGGAATTTAAAGCTGTGCCGTTGCTGCCAAATTGTACGAATATCGATAAGTTAGGCCTAACAGGGGACCGCCATGACGCGGTAAAACTTGCGATATGGCTTGGCTTTGTTGTTCATTTATAAAAGAACCGAATTTATAAGCAGAATTTATTTGATTACAAATCGTTTATAATATTGCAAGACGTTGGCATGAAATCTATCATTTTTAATTAAAGAAAAGGTGACAAATGAGCACCATACGAAACACAGCAGCATTAAGATGCTATTTTGCG